ATCTAATTAAATATGAGACAGAGCAACTGAAAACACTTCCAACATTCAGCCTTCCTGTTAACTGTCTAAGGTTTCACTCTCTCTCACAGTCCAACAGACATGCTTTGACACTTCAGAAAAATAAACTTCCCACATTTAAGTCTTCATCACTCAATAACAACTTTAGTTCAAATTAGAGCTTTGATTTCTGAGTTATCTGACCAGATGTTCACTAATCTGAGCAGATTAACCTGAGAATAAGCTCTGTTTGGTCCAAAGCTGTGTTCTGCATCTCTGCAAAGATCTATAAACGTCACAGTTTTAGAGAAATCAGACGATCATAGGAACATAGCAGGAAACTTTAAAAGAAAGCTGGGCCTCATGTGGAGCTAAAAACCCCACTAGAGTCCACCTACCACGGTGCAGAACACCAGCACTTCCCCCAGGTTTTGATCATCAACTTTCCTGTTTTCAGACTTGCTGGTTTGGACGAACGAGCGCGTGATCGGCTGGGTTCAGGCCATCGGCCTCAAAGAGTACAGCAGCAACCTTTATGAGAGCGGCGTTCACGGGGCGCTGCTCGCCCTGGACGAAAGCTTCGACCACAACTCGCTGGCTCTGCTGCTGCAGATCCCCACCCAGAACACTCAGGTACGCAAACCAGAATCATACAAACTACAGAGTCATAGTTTAACGCACTTCTCTGCAGCTTCTCTACTTTTACCCACTCATTACTTCATCCAGACAGTGGTTTGCTTACGACCAAAATCAAATGAAAAGATTCCCAAAGAAGTAAATCATGATAATCTAATTGAAATGAAAACTAGAGAAAAATAATTAGAGAAAAAGTTGAACCTATTAAATGTGGTTTATTTAACATATTGTTAAATGTGCTTATGTTATCTGCTTCTGTCTTGGTCAATCAAGTCGTTGACCAGCAGACTTTTCATAAATTCTGCTCTTGATCCCAGAGTTGAGTTGTTCTGGAATCAAAAGTTCCTTAAGGTTTTATGTGCTGAAGAGAGCAGTCGATCCTGGAAACTCAAATCTTTCAGAGCATAAAGCCTCTCTCCTTTACCTGCAGGCCAGAGCAGCTCTAGAGCGGGAATACACCAGCCTGATGGCGATCGGTGCTGACAGGAAAGTAGAGGAGGTGAGAAACTCACACAAGTTTGTAGGATCTGCTTCCCGTCTCTGGCTGAAATCTTCCACCATCTTTCCTCCAGGATGACGATAAGAACTTCCGCCGCGCCCCGTCATGGAGGAAGAAGTTCAGGCCCAAAGATATGAGGGGAATGCCGCTGGGCGCATCAGATACCCTGCCTGCAAACTTCAGAGTGACGAGCAGCGCGGCGTCGCCCTCCATGCAGCCAAAGAGAAGCCCGATGGACGGTAAGCAGCAGGAGCCAAACTGTCTTCCTGCATGTTGATAAAACTTCCTGCAGCTCTTACTGATTGAGGAGCCTTTTTGAAACTCTTAATGCGTCTTGAATGGCTTTGCTGATCTGCTCACTCTGACTAACGGCATGTCTCTGCATGTGGTTTGACCGCCATGGAAACACAGGAGGTCAGTCTATACAGAGGCTGGACACTGCCACAGTCAGGACCTACTCTTGTTAACAAACAACGGTAAGGCCACACCCACCGGCTTGGTTTAATGATTCAGATAAAGTATTTGTACAGAGCTCCATTAGTGCCATCTAAGAAAATGAAAACAATTTTCAGATTTATAAACAGACTTGAATCTGTTTAATGGACATGCAGACAATCAAACCCTGAGGCAAAGAAAGATGTTTTAGGAACTAGCAATGCACCAAGCGATCGGCCGGCCGATTGATCAGCAAATCAATGCTTTGTTTCATTTGAGAGAAGCCATTTTATTTTTAGGGCCTTCAGATCCTTTTTATTGTTTCACTGGTTCTGATTAATGCCTTTCAGTAAGATCAGATTGAAATATTTGAATAATCAAGAATGCTCAAATTGAAAAAATTCTCCTGGTAGAATTTCTCTTAGAGATAAGTAAATTATCCCCAGGTTTAAGATCAATTAAAACAAATTTCTCCTTTATAATTCTATCTTGTTGACACTTCTGGAGCTCCGTACTATTTCACCCTGCAATCTCAGCAGAAAGCAGCTTTTTATGTCGGAGGTTTCTGCTTTAATAACACATTTTACGCCTCTTTTCTCTTCCTCCTGTCTCCATCCATCCATTAATCTATCATCCATCCACCCACTCATCCATCCATCATTCATCCATCCACCCACTCATCCATCCACTTGCCATCCATCATCTATCCATCCATCATCCATCCATCCATCATCCATCCATCCAATCAACCATCATCTATTCATCCATCCAACCTTCATCC